CCCAAAACCCCAAAACCCCAAAACCCCAAAACCCCTTAAAATTATCGAGAATTTGAATTAAAATGTCAAAATAATCAAACTTCGCCCTGCTACTAGAGGGCGATACAAAAAGAAAGCATAGTAAACAAAGCTAATACTCGTCGATTAGTTTGTTAAAATCTTGCTCGATGAGTTTCTCCTGCTCAGTAGGAGCAGTCGGGTTGACTTCTTCCTCATCAGCTCTAGATGCCTTCCTAGAGCTGAACAAATTGTCAACAAAATCTGTGATTTCATCAGGAAGGGCAGCCTGAGGAGCATCACGAAGATGCTTAGGAATAAATCCAACTGAGTTCTTGCACATCTTAGATCTCTTTGGCTTTGATGCATTGTCTTCTTGATAGCTTTTCTGAGATATATTCTCAAATTCATGATCTTCAGTGATTTTTCTCTGAGTTTTATAAATCTGGTTTGATTGGAGTTTTTCGTTCAACTGTTCAGCAAAGCCATTCTGGGATCTAGAGTCGCTTCTGTCAGATCCTTGATGGACTTTGTATTTGATTCCTGATAAGCCAGGAGGAGCTGAATATTTCAAGGAATCTGCTCTTCTCTCATAAGGATTTCCCTCATTTGAGAGATATTTGAATGGATCAGCCTCAATTTTGCCCGAAAATTGGTTTCCTAGCATCTCGCTTGAAGGAGTAGTTGACTCCATTGTATGGCGTTCATAACTTGGAGAAGGATTGTTAAATTTAACTGAGTAGTTAGGTCTCCCTTTTACATCCATGGGACTATACATTGGCATAAAATTTCCTCTACTATACTGTCTATTAAAAGGATATGCCGCATTTTCACTGTAAGAGTGTTGCCTTGATGGAATAGTATTTCCATCAAATAAATGATTGTTGTAGATAGGCGTGTTGTAGCTATCAGAAGCACATTGAGGTATCTCAGGTGAGTCTCTATAAGATTCTCTCTCAGATGGAGATATTTTGTACTGAATTTGATTCATATTCCCTGAATCAAAATGATGACTGTCCATATGAGAATTTTGGTTAAAACTATAATTTGAAGAGTTCTCTCCGAATTGGCTAGTCCTTTGTGATACACCAACAGCGACTGGCCTTGAAAGAGAAGGTAATGGATTCATCATATAGTCAGTCCTTGCATGCTTTCTCTGATAAACATCTACATCTGATGATACCTCCTCGAATGGAGAAAAAGGGGCGAATCTCTTCTGTTCAAATTTCTGATTCTGAAATTTAGTATTAGTACCCTTCGAGGATGATTTAATATCTTCTTCATTAACATTAAGTTTGCATCCATTGCTTGCAATTTTTCTCCTGTCATTTTCATCATGATAAAAAGCACATCGGTCTCCTCTAATGCAAACCACCACAGAGTTCTGCATGTCGTGAACCATTTTGTCTCAGTTGTTCACCTTATACTTCAAAGGATGATAAAGTGACTCAAATAATGAATGTGACATATCTCAAAATGGATTATTTGGACAATTTGTCCCATTAACTCAATTCTCTGGGTAATACCTAATAAAGTCTGGCTTTCTCCTGTAATCCTTCATATTGTGGAAATAGAGACAGTCCTTGTAATTATGCTTCATATTAATATGAGGGCACATCTCTGTTTTGAACCTGTAAATGTAAAAGGACTCCTTGTCTAACTTGGTCATCATATCTTCTAAGTTTACTGGAGCTGGCCTCATATTCAACTGCTCTCTTTTAGAGCAATTTTTGTTAAAATAATCAAACACAAATCTCATTTTTGCATTTTCTTCAGCTACGTCAATGTTCAATAGAGGATCTGGGAGATGGTACTCTGGGACACACTTTTTATAGTTCTTTAAATCGAGGGGCTGAGGCTTCTCTAATTCAAATTCTTTGTTCAATTCATGAAGGTTTTCTACATCTTCCAATGAGAAATCGCATAGAGAATATGGCTGTTCTTTCATATTTATGGCAACTACCAAAGGCCCATAGAACAAAGTCTCACAATGAAGCTCAAATGGGTGAGCATTTGGGTTCCTTGGAAACTTATGACCCTCACATTTAAGAAGTAAGACTTGAAGGATTTGATTTGGGTATTGATCACCTTTAAGTTGCTTTCTGTAAACACTATAACCTGGTGGCTCAGTTGGAGAATATCCTTTGAACACTTTTTTCCAATAAAAATAATCCTCTGTAAAGACTTGCTTTAGGCTTGTTTCATTTCCTATAATCCATTATGAACAAAAGGCCAGGTATTAGAATGGAAGAGACTTGAAAATTGGATAGATAAGATATTCTTTTACTATCTACGCCTGAAGAGCAAATAGTGTTGTAAAATAGTCCATTCGGACTTCATTTTATAAGTTTATCTTACCCTTCACCTTAATGTTGATCTGATATGGCTTGACATCAGGGTCCATTGGTACTACAACACAGGCTATATAGAAAAGATTAGCAATAATTTTTGGAATGTCGTCTCCAACTGGTTTACTATTAACTTTCTTAAAAATGAGTTTTATTACGTCATGACAAAGAATTTCAAAACTCTTAGAAGTCAGCAGTAATTAGTAGTAGGCACTTACTCAAGACTCTGCCTGATTTATTAAGCATGCTTTGCCTCTTCCCTCCTTTTTGGTCAGATATCATCTTTGGAGAAATTCTGTGCTGTCCTGTTGGACTTGGAGTGTTCTGGAGTGTCCCATTCCTCTGGAGTTGGTGAGGAACAGAAATTCCACAAGCAGCCATATTGCTAGACCTACTCTTCTTTAGCTCTTGTGCATCAAGAGGCTGGAGAGAATTTTGAAGCTCATTCTTGTTCATTTCCAAATATTCTTGGCTCCCAGCAAGCCCTGAATTGGATATCAAAGGCTTTTGTGAGAATGACTGAGGTGAGTGAGACTTATTAGAGTACGATTCATGATTCGAATATTTGTAATGAAAAGTACTACTATCTTCGTCATCTCCTTTTGAAATTCCATACCCATTCTGAGTCAAAATGGTTTGTTGTAAGCTTAAATCTTGGTCTTGGAAATTATTATCTTGATCATAGTTCCCCCAAATAGAATTTTGAGAGAAATTGAACTGATCAAAAGCATTTGTGAGCACCTCTGGGTCAAATGCTTGCTCATTTCCTTGGGTTGAGCTCGGGTTTTCCATATTTTTAATAATATTTCAACTTACCAAAGTGAAATAGGGGTTTTGGGGTTTTGGGGTTTTGGGGTTTTGGGG